AGAAATACCAAACAGAAGCCCCATGTCCTTCGGAAGCCTGGGATGTGGTTTACCCAGATGTTTACTACCCATTTACCTCCCTGCCGAAGTCTTGCCATGGGTGACGACAGCATGGCTGAGGAATTTTGTCCCTGTGGCTTTGTAAGCTAATGTATCAGCTGGAGGTTCTCCGTAGGAGCAGAACAAATGGGATAATGTGCCTGTATGTACAGAAAAAGGGACGGGGGGTGATTTTTAAAGAATTGGTTCCTGTGATTGCAGAAGTACAAGACCGTTAAAACATGCCAGCCTAGTTGAGAGCCCCGTGCTCCACCTAGAGTCAGAAAGCAGCCAGGAAGCAGAACTCTTTCCCCTTCTGGGGAGATCAGTCTCTTTCTCCTATGACCTTTAACGAGACGAGGTCTGCACACATCGTCTGCCTTACTCAAAGTCTACAGATTGAAAGGTCTAATCACATTTTTAAACATTGGTTTATAGAAACATCTAGACTGGTATTGGACCAAATATCTGGGCACCAAATTGACACAGACAATCAAATATCAGGACAAGCAAACAGAGCTTGGAGCAAAGGAGTGAAATTAGATTTGGGCTCCTGGAAACAGGAATTGGAAATGAGTTTCTAGGTCTAAGTGAGCAGACTAACATGAGTCCCACAAACTTTACTGAGATGAGGAAGGTGTTCCTAGCAATACGCAATGTTATTAGAAGTTCCTTTGGGGCATGGCAGAGTAGTCCAAATCTAAGATCCTCATGTCTCAGTGTTTTACAGTTTAGCCCTGAGAGTGGCTTTTAGAAGAGGGTGTCTTTGGGGCATGGCAGAGTAGTCCAAATCTAAGATCCTCATGTCTCAGTGTTTTACAGTTTAGCCCTGAGAGTGGCTTTTAGAAGAGGGTGTCTTAGTGGATATTGATGTGGGACACCCCTCTGTATGCTGTGAATGTGCATTGTTATCATTGGCTAATAAAGAAGCTACTTTGGGCCTATGACAGGACAGAACAGAGCAAGGCTGGAATTCTAAGCAAAGATAGAGGAGGAAAAAAGGTGGAGTCAGAGAGAGGCCATGTAGCTGCCGAAGGAGAAAGACGCCCACCCCAACCCTTACTGGTAAACAAACTTGGAACCTCATGGTAAAATACACAATAATAGGACAAGATGTAAGAACTAGTTGATAAGAAGCCTGAGCTAATAAGCTAAGCAGTATTTTCCTTAATACAGTTTTTGTGTGATTATTTCAGGTCTGGGCAGCTGGAAAATGAACAAGTGTCTCCACCTACAGTGTCCGATCCCTTTTTGTGTTGTTGGAAAAGGTCGCTAGCCATGTTGCCCAAGTCAAGCTAACACCCTAGAACCCACACAATTCTTCTACTCCAGCAGGATACAGGTATTCAGCACCACACCTGGATCCTCTTCTCATTACCTGAAGCTCATCTCTTGAATTGAACCTGAGGGAGCTAAACCCTAACGTCTAAGAGATTGCCAACTTCCCAATTCCTACCTGGGGAGTCATTGCTTAAAAAGATGTGCTGTATAAAATGAGTGTGACTCACACAGAGGAACCCAGTGCAATCACACTTATCCTAGGAGAGGGAAACAGAGAAAAGGTTGCTGGACTCTCCATGGAAAACACACTGAGCACTTTGTTGGCAGCTGGACAGGTACTTTTGGTGTCAAGTTCTTCAACTTATAGAAAAAGAGATACTGCCTCTTTAACTCATGGAAAACCATTTATCAAATTGTTCTTTTGTTTGAGGTTAGTTCTATATATGTGTCTGTATATGGGATGTGGATGTAAGTGCAGTGCTCACAAAGGCCAGAAGAGGGCATCAGATCATACAGAGCTGGAGTTACAGGCAGTCGTGAATCGCTCAACAAGAGTGCTGGAAACCCAAACTGGTCCTTCTGAAGAGCAGCAAATGCTTTTAGCCACTGAGCCATCTCTCCAGCCTTCAGGCTGGGCATTTTGAACAGGTAATGTGTGTAGAAGGCTGGCCTCAAGCTGTGAACTGCACATGCTCAGGAAGGAATGTGTCTGCCTCTAGAGCTGAGGTCAAGTCTTTGCTACTTTAATAGGTGTAAGTTTCCCCAGTAAATGCCTCTTCATAACTGCTCGAGAAGTCTCATACTTGCTGTAAAATAAGACTCTTCACTCTGTCATCTCATTGTATTTGGCTATGCACTCACCCAGTGAACTCACTGTGCTCAGTTACATCGTCCATTAATAAGAAACACTTTAATCATCATGCACATAATGGTGGACAAGTTCCTTGGCTCTCAGGGAGGTTTATTTCTTATGAGAAAGATAAAATGAAAGACAAAATAATATTTATTGAACATTCATTAACTGTCAGTTAATAAGATTCAGGGTTTGTATGTATTACTTCAAATTCATCCTTAATTATTAGCATATTTACATGTAACTATTATTTTATATATATTCTTTATATATTATTTCATTCTTAAATAATTGAGTACTATTACTAATTCAGTGTGAACTGAAGTTGCCAGAAAAATAGCTGCACCTCTGTCAAACTTCCCCAAGGCTGGTTGACTGATCAGAATGCCTGCAATTGCTGGAATGTTGCAGGTCCAGAGCCAAATTTTCTTGGGCTATCTTTAGTTCCCATAAGCCATTCACGGCCCACAGTGACCTAACATCCATCCTTGAGACTATTAGATAAATCCTCTGGAATGCAAAAACAAATCCCTTAGCTTGCAGCAACCCCAAGGTTTAGATGTCACCATATAACATCTGAGGATTATAACAGAGACTTTCCCACTTTGCTGCAACTTGGCTATCTGATGTTTCCACAAACGTAATTTTAAAACACCGCGATTTATGACTTGCTTTCTTCTATCACTGTGAAAAATTCATTAGCAGTTCATTATCCAAATACATTGGCCCATCTCTTTGGATAGCTTCATTCTGTGCTCTGGGCTGTGGTCTCTTATACAGCTCCAGTATAAATAATCTCTTATTCCTTTTGGAGTGAGAGCTGTGTGTCTGTGTTAGCACTTTCAGGTGCCTGAATGTGGAGCTGCAAGGACGATCCACGTCCTCCGGAGGACTCACCTGGGTTGGCACCAACGCCCATTGTACCCAAGCCTCCAGCGTTGCCTCCTGGGGTTGAAGTTGGTGAGTTTTTTTCTGGGGCTCAGACCCCCGTGATTTGGTTGAGTGTTCCTTGGTTCAGCCTGAGGACACTTGATTTTAAAGTTTTAAGAAATCATGTCACTTCCTTTTCCTAACTTCAGAACATGTGGTCTCAAAGCATTTGGTTTCTTTTCGGTTTTGTTTGCTTTCAGAACCTTCAGTTTGTTAATTTTCTATCATTCAACCATTTTCTCCTGCTGCTCCTCCAATATATCAAGGAATGATATAAATGTAAAAGAGAAAAATTGTCATTTGCTACTCCATCCATCTGGTTTTGTTTTTGATAATTATGCTAATTCCACTTGTAAGTATTTGGGGGTGGGGATGAGAAAAATCTAACTACAGATTAAGTTGACTTTATGCCTGTCTTGACTGAAAACATTTGGTACTAAATCGGTTCCTTTTTTCCAGGCACACACTACACTAGGGCTCCTAGGCAATAAAATTAAAGATCATTGTGCCAGTTGACTTTTTTCCAGCTTGATACAAACTTAGGTCATCTGGGAAGAGGAAACCTCAATTGCAAAAACGTCCCAGTCAGATTGGCCTGTGGGCAAGTCTATGGAGTATCTTCTTGACTGATGGCTGATGTAGGGGAGCCAAGGGCACTGTGGGTGGTGCCATCCTGGGTAGACAGTCCTACATTTTATAAACTGTTAGCCGAGTGAGCCACGGAGAGCAAGCCAGTAAGTGCCCTCCACGACCTTTGCTTCAGATCCTGCCTCCAGGTTCCTGCTTTGCTTGTGCCCTGGCTTCCCTTCATGATGGACGGTAATTAGGGTGTGGCATAATGTGAGAGGCAAAGTCACGTTTTAAATGTTAATTACTGTGACCAGGAGTTCCATGAAGCAAAAATGCCTCTGATCTGCAAGCCCCTGCCCAAGGAAAGATAGTTCCTGAAATGCTGAAGGTTGCCATTTATGGGAGGTAACACACCACATGTTTTCACTCCCCTAAACAAGTTTTTTTGACCCAGCTACACCAGATGTGCTTGATCACATGTGAGCAGGAGGTTCACAGGCAGGAAACAGGTCAGAGTGAAGGCTTGTCCCTAATTGGATGTAGGCCAGAGGTATATAGGCAGGAAACACTTCAAGATGTATGTTTGACCCTGGCTGAACCTGATGGGAAATACTTAAGCCCCTGCAAGGTCTGACTCAGGGCTATTTCCTGGGAACCTGGGTATGGACCTGGCCAAAGTCCAGGATTTAATTAAAACTTGCTTCAAATTTGACTTTAAACTGTAGTAATGATCTTATTCTCAATTAGTGGGATTAACATTTTCTGGAGTCCCCCGGGGAGATTTAGACCACCCACCCAACTTCTAAAGCTGAACTTTCACTCTGGAACTCCAGCACTGAGGGGTGGCAACAGGAGGCACGTGCCTTGAGACTTTCCAAGGCTCTGAGACTTCCTTCAGTTATTGGATAACAGGTGAACAGCCATGCTGAGAAATGCAGCAATCATCTACAGAGACTTCCTGGGGAGTCATAGTCTGGATCTGACTTGTGGGATCCCTCTCTGGGTCATGAAGGGGGCTCAACAGCACCCCAATATTCTCCCATCCAGGGCATATAACAAGGCATCACCTGCCCACCTGGTTCTGATTGGTTGGAAAGTTTTGTCTGTTTCCCGTTGGAAAGTTTTGTTTGTCTGTGTTTTCTGGTGTGTCTGAAAGTTTTGTTGGAAGCATGAAGCTGAGACAGAAATGGGTCAGATATTTTTACTGTCTCTGCTGCCATCAGCAACCAGTGATCACCGTTGTCATGGCTGCTTAGGCTGGAGCTCAGAATTTATCTCTGAGTTCTCTGGTCACTAAAAACTCTCCTCTGTGTTCTGTGTCGGTTGATCCACCTGGCACTGTATAGGGAAAAGAAAGCAAAGCAGTTGTAGAACCTACTCACTCGTAGGTGGTTATTAGGAGTAAAGTATAGAATAACCAACCACAAGCCAAAGCCCCAGAGAGGTTAGATAACAAGGAGGGCCCAAAGAGGGAGGCATGGATTTCCCTGGGAAGGTGAAGTAGAAAAACTCTCCTGGGTAGACTGGGGGCCAGCGATTGGGGAGATGGAGGACTGGGAATTGGAAGGAACAAGAGGTAGGTTGGAGGGGGATAGAAACAAAAGAGATGTCTTGATGGAGGGAGCATTTTGGGGTTAGAGAGAAACCTGATGCCAGGGAAACACCCAGGAACCCACAAGTGTGACCCCCAACTAAGACTCCTACAATGATAGAGAGGGTGCTGTAGGCAGACTGGGACTACTCTAATTGTCACAGAGGTACTCTATCCAGTAACTAACTAATGGAAGCAGCGGCAGAGATCCACAGACAAGCACTGAGCTGAGCTTCATAGCGATTGTGCCAGCCAGGAGGTTAAGATGGGGAAAACCACAGAGACAGCTGACTTGAGCTCATGGACACTGGATCAACAATCAGGAAGCCTGCATGGGACTGTCCTGACCCTCTGCATGTATGTGACAACATGGGGAACTGGGTGGAAGGGTTGAAGCTTTGGGAAGGTTGAGAATCATTGCCTTCCTGGGCCCTGACAACAAAATCCTAGTTTCAGCTGAAAGTAGTTACATAACAAAGTACTTTGTTCCTTGTCCCCCCAACAGGCTGGAATGTTAGATCCAAAGGAAATTCCCTAGCATATGGGACAAAATAGCTACCTATAGTGCCTATTACCATACCAGGAAAGGTACCTGTTAAAACCAAATAGACCCAGATTCATCAACAGGTAGATCCATCAACCAAAATAGTTCTACCTACTCTATGTAAAACAGAAGTGGTTGTATAACTTTAAGAGAAAATTGTTGTTTCTATACAAATCACTCAGAAATCGTTAGAAATAATCTGACTGTACTAAAAAGAAAATCATTGCAAAAAGGGGGTCCTGAGATGAAATAAATGACTAGTCTCCATTCCCATTTCCAGGTTCCTTCTAGATTGTAACTCTGATATCAGCCATCATGGGGCATTTGGCCCTTCTGCTTCTTCTAATTGCTGCTGATTCTTGAATCCATTAAGCTGATGGCTACTAGATTCCAATATAAAAAGGTAAGGATTTAACTCAGAATACAACTCAAGGGTCAAAGTTATATTTTGTTTTAATTACTATGCCTAAGAGATCCATAAAACAAAAATGCCTCCGATCCTAGGACCCTTGCCCAAGGAAAGATAGATCCTGAAGTGGTGGAGGCTATTGTTTATAGGAGATAACAAGCCACGTGTTTTACTACCCTAAACATATTTATTTGACCCAACTAAACCAAATGTGCTTAATGACAAGTGGAAGGGAGGTTCATAAGCAGGAAATGCCTCAGGATATATGCTTACTCCTGTTTGGACCTTATGGACAATATTTAAGCCCTTGTAAGACATGACTGGGGTCATTTTCTGGGAACCTGGGTATGGAACTGGTCAATATTAATGTTTGCTTCAATTTTGACTTAAACTGTAGTAGAAGTCTTATTCTTGACCCATGGGACAAACAATTGCTCTGTTTATTGTATGAAGCCAGGTAGGGAATGGTTCCCAGGTATTCTCTGCCAACTGGTTTCTTTCATATGTTAATCTTGATGTAATTTCTCCAGTCCCCAATCTCCTGCCACATTATTGAGTTAACAATGAATTCAAATCCTGTTTCCTGCAGAAATGTGTTAATTAAGTAGGCCATCAGTTAGAGAATCACAAGCTAACTATGGGCCAAAAAGTTAAATACATGCTTCATTATTGTGTGTGTTTTCTTGTGCAAAGTATGGGATTCCAGTAGGGTGAAATTCTGGATTGATAAAATACTGACTAAAACAACTGGGGGGAGAAAGAGTTTATTAGTATTATTAATCCCACCAGTTAAAAATATGACCACTACTATAGTTTAAAGTCAAATTTAAAGCAAGCTTTAATTAAATACTGACCAGGTAGGTGAATTCTGGCCAGGTCCATATCTGGGTTCCCAGGAAATGACCCCAAGTCTCGTTTTGCAGGTGTTTAAGTATTTCCCATAAGATCTATTCAGGATATTTCCTGCCTATGTACATCCAATTAGGGACAAGCATACATCCTGATGTATTTCCGGGCTGTGAACCTCCCACCCACATGTTATGAAGCACATCTAGTGCAGTTGGGTCAAACAAACATGTTTGTGGGGGTGAAAACATGTGACTTGTTATCTCCCATAAACAATAACCTCCAATGATGTAGGAACTCAATGTCCTTGGGCAAGGAACTTACATATCAGGAGCATTTTTGTTTCATGGATCTCTTTGGCATAGCAATTAAAATTTAAAATGTAACTTTGGCTTCCCATTATTTTCCTCCCCAAATCCTGGGATTTACAAACATGGGAGAGTCAGGAGCTGTGTGAATGACTAGTAACAGATGATGAATCTTGTAGTCCACCACTTTTGGGTGATGCTTTTCTCTGAGCTCACTTGCCCATTCTCATTCTCAGAAGTACTTTCTCTCTCTTAATAAACTATCTCTAGTTCTCTTTCCAAACATGTGACCCAGGTCCAATTCTTTGTCTTTGAAGACAACAACCTGTAAAGTCCCAGCAGGTGCCCCCAAGATCCAATTCTATGCCTCTAGCAATAAGAATATGCAGTATACTATTCATAAAAAACAGGAAATGGCTATTCTCATATCCTACTAATAAAATACCCCAGCCATTTCACTAGAAAATATCATTATTAAATGTTCCCTGGTAGACATTTAGTGAGAGGCTGTTCTTTAAATAGATGGCTGGCTTATACTTGTATGTGTTATTGGCCTTTCCTAACAAGAGCATAAGATGGTGGATTAGAGAGGAAAAGAGCATTATTTTTGTAGGATGCACTTCTTTTGTAGAAGACAAAGGATAACTCTTAAAAGTGTAATTTTCAGCAAAGGAGCTGGATACAAAACTAATTCACAAAAATCAGTAGCCCTCCTAAACAAAAAAGACAAATGGCCTAAGAAAGAAATCAGGGAAACAACACCTTTCACAATAACCTCAAATAATATAAAATATCTTGATGCATCTCTAGCCAAGCAAGTAAAATACTTGTATGATTAAAAAAAAAAACTTCAAGCAGTTGAAGACAGAAATAGAAGAAGATATCAAAAACTGGAAAGATGTGCCATGCTCATGGATCAGTAGGATTAACAAAGGAAAAAATGACCATCCTACCAAAGGCAATCTACAGATCCAAAGCAATCCCCATTAAAATTCCAAGACAATTCTTCACAGATCTTGATAAGACAATTTTCAGCTTTGTATGGAAACAAAAAGAAAATCTAGACTAGCTAAAACAAGCTGAATAATAAAAGACCGGAAGGGGTATTACCATCCTGAACTTCAAGCTGTACTACAAAGCTATAGCAACACCATGGTATTGACCCAAAAATAGACATATTGATCAATGGAATCGAATTGAAGACCCAGACACAAGTTCACACCCTATGGAGATGTGATTTTTTTTAAAAAAAAATAAAGATTACAGTAATACACACTGGAAAAAAAAAAAGACAGAATCCTCAACCAACGGTGCTGGTCAAACTGGATGGCTACATGGAGAAGAATGCAAATAGATCCATATTCATCACCCTGCAAAAAAAATGATTCCAAATGGATGAAAGACCTCAACATAAAAATCAGACACACTAAAACTGATAAAAGAGAAAGTGAGGAATAGCCTTGAATGAATTGGTACAGGAAAAGACTTTCTGAACAGAACACAGTTAGCACAGGTATTAAAATCAACGATTAATAAATGGGATCTCATGAAACTTGTTGTAGACTATTATTTCAAGGTGTATTACTTTTATTTATGTTGCATTTGTGTAACTCTGTGAATCTGTGCTACTGTGCCTATCTAAAACACCTGATGATCTAATAAAGAGCTGAATGGCCAATAGCAAGGCAGGAGAAAGAAATGAACAAGGCTGGCAGACATAAAGGAGAAATATAAAGAGGAATCTGGCAGTGAAGGGATCTGGGGACAAGGGAGGAAAGAGGAGGACTTTAGAAGCCAGCCACCCAAGCACCCAGCTACACGGCCAGATATAGAGTAATAAGGAAAGAAAAGGTATACAATAATGGAGAAAGATAAAAGTACCAAGGCCAAAGATAAATGGGATAATTTAAGAAAAGCTGACAAGAAACAAGACAAGCTGAGGCCAGGCACTCATAACTAAGAATAAGTCTCCATGTGTGATTAATTTGGGAGCTAGATTAGTGGACCCCCTCAAAAAGCCAAAAGATCCCAAAAAAACAAAAGAGTAAGAGCAAAAATAACCAACAACATTATGGCACCCAACGTGGGGCTAGAGTGAAAAAACACTGACAACAACATTTTGATGCCCAACGTGGGACGCGTATTTTCATGTAGAGCCTGAGAAAGCTGAATAAAAGTATATGGCTTCTTCAAGAGTTTCTGCTTGCTGGTGAGCCCTGGAGCAGCTAGTACTTTAAGTCGGAACAAAAAGGTAAACAACCAATGTAAAAATGCCTGCCACATTGCTAGTGTCAGCATTCTAGAGCTTTAGGAAGGTTGAATGCAGTTTCTGGTGAGGCGAACCTCTGACCAGGATGCAATCTTTAGGTTTGGCTCTCACGAATCTCATGAATTGAGAAGCAGGCAGAGCTAGCCAAAAGAGCTACATGGAGGATCCAGGTGTAGCTTAACAGTCTAACATTTATTTGTGCAGTCAAAAAAAGATTAAAAGTTATACAATAAAAGCGGTGTGGATGGAAAAATCCTCTAAATAGTTTCCAGTGTGTTTCTCAGTGTGCATGGACTTAAGAAAGGAAGAAAATGAGTATAGGAAGTTATAGAAAGAAAGAAATAGTTTTAAAAAGTAATCTTTAAAGAGACAGTAAAAGTAATATAAAATAAAAAAAAAGTCACATAAAGATGGGAAATACATAGGAAGTCTGGATCCTGCATGCTATTGTGTTAATTTTGAATTTTTTAATTGCTGAAAAGTAAAGGACAGCTGCTAAGAAACCTGGAATTGAAAGAGGAACTGTTGAAATAAACTGGCCTAGATATTTTAATAAGCCTTAACTTAAGAAGTCAAAAATGTATTTGCCAAATAGATATCAAAAATGCTTTGGAGAAGTGGTTTTATTTTTGTTTCCATAGGAAACAAGAGACTGTGGATTTGTTCCAGGTAGTTATGAATCTGACTTGATCCAAGACCTCCTGAATTTTGACAGGTAATATCAATCATCAAAGATTATAACTGGTCTTCCCAGGACTTGGTCATTATCTCAAATTTTTCCTCAGGGACCCCTGGGGATATCTTTGTCCACAGCCAGCAGGAAGCAATATGGAGAGTACTACAGCCACATTCCCAAGTTTTGGGTGATATGGGTAGTCTTTGGTTATTTTGTGGGCTATGGATCTTTGTTATCATTTGGGGGAATATAGGAATGCTAAGATAAAAAGTTAGATTATTGAATCTACTTTAATCTAATAAACAACTATTAATCTCAGAAATTTTGTATTGTTATGGACTTTTGTATAGTGATATAAATGTGAGAAATCTGGAAGAGAAGGAATCTGGGTGCAAGAGAGGAAGGAAGAGGACTTCAGGGGTCAGTCACCCAGTACACAGCCAGACACTGAGTAAGAAGGAAAAAAAAAAGGTATACAGGAATAGAAAAAGACAAAAACATAGAGGCCAAAAATAGATGGGATAATTCAGGAAAAGCTGGAAAGAAACAAGCCAAGCTAAAGCTAGACATCCATAACTAAAAATACGCCCCTCAAAAAGCTATAAGAGACCCAAAGAGTAAAAAAGTAAGAGCAAAAACAGCCAACAACAGAAATGGAGAAGCTTCTGCATGACAAAGACTCATCATTCAGACAAAGCAACAACCTACAGAGTTCGAAAAGATTTTTACCAACCCCATATATGATATAGGACTAATACCCAATATATATGAACTCAAGAAAATGGATATCATTAAAACAAATATATCATTTAAAAATTGGGATCTAGATCTAAACAGAACATTTTTCAATAGAGGAACCTCAAATGGTAGAGAAACACTTAAAGAAACGTTCAACATCCTTAGTGTAAAGCAAAACTACTGGGGGATTTCATCTTATAGCAGTCAGAATGGCTAAGATCAATAACACAAATGACAGCTCATGCTGGCTAGGATGTGGAACAAGAGGAACACACCTCCATTGCTAGTAAGAGTGTAAGCTCATACAACCACTATAGAAAGCAATGTGATGTTCCTTAGAAAGAAGGAAGTTGATCCACCTCAAGATCCAACTATACCACTCTTGGACATGGTCTTAGTTAGTATTTCTCTTGCTATAGAAGAAAACACTATGACTACAGCAACTCTTATCTAGAAAACATTTCATTGGAATGCCTCACTTAAAGCTTCATGGGTTCAGTCCATTATTATCATGGCAGGAAGTAAGGCAGCAAACAGGCAGATATGATGGTTGAGGGGTAACTTAGTGTCCCACATCTATCTATCGTAAAAATAGATGATAGATAGATAGATAGATAGATAGATAGATAGATAGATAGATAGATGATAAAATGACTTCTAATGATAATCTGTTATATTCACAGATCAGTGATTTGCTCAGCTATCATCAGAGAAGTTCCTTTTGCAGCAGACAGGAACATATATAGAGACTCACAGTCAGACATTACACTGAGAGTGAGCGACCTTAGAACATCCCACCCTAAATAAAATGTCTCCATCAAATTCCTCCCCTCAGAGCTCAGGAAATCCTTGGAAGAAGAAGCAGAAAAGAGTGTAGGAACCAAAGGGGAAGGAAGACACCAGGAAAACAAGGTCCTCTAAATCAACATGAGCAAATCTCTAATGAATTCACAGAGACTGAAACAGCATGCATAGGACCCACACAGGTCTGTGTCAGGTCCTCTGCAACTATATTATGACTTACAGTTTAGTGTTTTTATGGGACTCCTGTGTGTGCCATTGAGTGTGTCTCTGATTTTTGTGACTTCTCTTTGACTCTTTTCCTTCTGTCAGTTTGCCTTGTCCAACTCTGAAGTGATAGTTTTTGCTTTATCTAATTATTTTTTTATTTTGCTATATTTAAAAAATAAGTGAATGAATGAAAACCTAGCCATTAGGTTAAAGGTTAACAACTGAACTGTCACTTGTACCTGTTGGGAGAGGGAAAATCAACTTTCTCCAAAGGAGTGATAATGGATATATCAACCACTAACATATAATGGATTCCACAGTTTCTTCGTTTGTTTGTTTTGGGGTTTTGTTTTTGTGTGTGTGTGTGTGTGTGTGAGAGAGAGAGAGAGAGAGAGAGAGAGAGAGAGAGAGAGAGAGAGAGCGCTTTTATTTGGTTATACTTTGGTGGATTTGGGGGTCGTATTTGTTTTCTTGGTTGGGGAGTTGTATTGAGTTTCTGTTTGTTTTTTTAGAAAGAACTTAAATTTATGTGGGTTGGGAGGGAAGAGGATATGTAAAGACTTGGGGAAAAAGAATAAAATCAAAATATGTTTAAATTTAAAAATGTTTTGAATAACAAAAATGTAATTTAGAAAAAAGTTACATCAAGGGAACTTCTCTTTGCAACAGGTAGAAATCAGTACAGAAAACAACAATCAAGCAAAATGAAGAGTTGAGGAATCCAGTTCCAGTGACTCAGGGAACATTGTGGAAGAAGGGGCAGTAAGGTTGTAAAATCTGGGGGAGTTAGCTGTGAGAGTGTGTCTCCTAGTGATGTCATAAACTATACCCATGCAGTCTCACCAACATGACTGCCAAAATGAGTGTTGAAGAAGGACTACACCACATGACAAAATAGAAAGAGAAAAGTTCATGAGGCCTTAACCCTACACAAGCAATGATAGGCAACTGCGGAGAACTGAGAGTGAGAAGGGCAGGCTTGCCAGGGAAGAGCAGACGAGTCAGTCATCCAGTGCCCATCAGTCAGACCTGAAAACATCCATAAAGGTAACATGATATGGACCAAGCTGATTAGATTCTGGAATGTATATGTATGTACATATACAGATGCATATACCTAGCCATGGATATCATATACATATGTTCATGTAACAACAATGAATGGAAGAGGCCATGAATTTGAAGGAGAGTGAGGATGGCTATATGGGAAGGTTTAGATAGAGAAAAAGGAAATGTTGTAATTATGTTGTAATCTCAAAAAAATCTTATTTTGTGATCTAACCAGACTCTCCGAATTTGGCCGGACTCTCTGACTGTGGCTGACTCGAAGTCTTTCTGAAAAGCCATTGACTATGACACTGGGACCTGTTTCCTCTACATATAATGGATTTTGGGGATCCAGTCTGTTTGGACACTCACCTTCCTGGACCTGGAGGGAGGGGGAAGGAACTGGAACTTCCCACAGGGCAGGAAACCCTGACTGCCCTGGGGGACGAAGAGGGAGGAGGAGGGGGAGTAGGGGGAGTGGGAGGGTGTTGGGAGGGGGGGTGGAAATGGAAACTTTTATAATTTAATAAAATTTACTAAAAAAAAAAAAAATAAAAAAAAAAATAAAAAAAAAATAAATAAAGATAACTGCAAATATTTTCAAAAGAACATTAGGTTTATAGTTATATGAACAAAGAGGCTAACTCAAATCTCAGCACCTGTTCTACATGAAGAGAAAATATTAGCATGAAAAGGCTGAGCAGAGAGTGCACAGACCATCAGCAACCATCACCACGCCTATCTTCGTCACCACCGCTACTTCTTTTCACTCGAGTTGGCTTCCTGTAAGTTACGGTTTGGGGACTAAGAGCAGAAGATAATATGGGAGCTGCATACTTGCTTCAGTGACTTTTATTACAGGAAAATGAAGAGTGTGCATCAGAGAAATTGAAGCTAATGCCACCAGCTTCAGGCTGGCCACAAATGCACATAAAAGTCTCCACACGAGTGTCCAGTAATTTGGAAACTTGTCAAAGATTGTACAGTGTGGGTGCTATGCTGAACCGACAGGCAGTTAAGCAAATCAGTGACTATGACCAACCCAGAGAGTGAAATTTTAACCACCATAAAAGTGGGGATTCTCATAAAGAGAAGACAAGAAGGGGACAGGCAGCGGCTCTCTTGGGACAGTTGGCTCTCTCTTGGCAATTATAGACGGAATCACCTTTGTCCTCCCACTTACTCATCTCCACAACAATACCACAAAGACATTCTCTTCTTCTCCCTAACAGACAGACTCCCAGTGTTTCAATAACAGGGGTTTAGAGATAGCACTAGGAAAATACAGTCTCATCCTAGTAATTACTAATGATGACCACACAGAATATAGATTTCAGCCCTGAGAACAGAATTTGAGGTGTTTCTTTTTTAATGGAACAGTGTCAAGGCAAGTAAAAGTGAGGCACAAAGTGTCCATAAATCATACACAAAAGAATATTCAAAAGATATTGAACCTGGAAGAATAGATTCACTGTCTTCCACCATTTGTTGAAGAATTAGATGTCAAAAAGCAATTTCTCGGAATACACAAGGATGACCCCAGCTAAGACCCTAAACAATAGTGAGGAGGGTGCCCAAACTATTCTTGCCCTGTAGTAAGAATGATGACTACCTTAAATGTCACCATGGAATCTTCATCCAGCAACTGATGGAAGCAGAGGCAGAGATCCACAGCGGAACACTGGGCTGATCTCCCAAGGTCCAGTTGAAAAGTGGGAGGAGTAAGAATGTGAGCAGAGGTCAAGACCATGATGGGGACACCCATTAAAAAAGCTGAGCTAATGGGAGCTTACCAACTCTGGCTTGACAGGGAAGGAACCAGCATAGGAGTAAAGTAGGCCCTCAGAATGTGAGTGACAGTTGTATTGTTGGGGCAGACTGAGGGGCCACTGGCAGTGAGACCAGGATTTATCCCACTGCTTGTACTGGCTTTTTGGATCCCATTCTCTTTGGAGGGATACCTGGCTCAGTCTAGATAAAGTGGGGAAGGCATTGGTCCTTCCTCAAAGCAATGTATTAGACGTTGTTGACTCCCCATGGGAAACCTTACCCTCTCTGAGGAGTAGATAGTGGGGGAGTGGGGAGGAAGGTGGAGGGAACAGGGGGATGGAGAGGGAGGGAGAACTGGGATTGGTTTGTAAAATGAGAAAAGATAGATTGTTTTTTTAAAAAAAATAAAGAGCAGTACAAGGTCTTCAGCACCTGTGTATCCCACTTTGGAGCATTTGCTATTTTCTACATCCCTATGGTTTTTTGTTTTATTTGTTTGGTTGGTTTTTTGAGACAGGGTTTCTATGTAGCTTTGGAGCCTGTCCCAGAACTAGCTCTTGTATGTCAGGCTGGCCCTCAAACTCACAGATCCTCTTGCCTCCCAAGTCCTGGGATTAAAGGCGTGCACAACCACCACCCAGCTGACATCCCTATGTGTCCCTGGTGCATCGCTATGGTCAGTCAGCCCCCAAAGTAGTCCATTCGATGACGGCCAATGTTTACCTTCTTTGACCACCCATGCTTAACCCCATCATCTATAGTGTAAAAAGAAAACTAATCTGAAAGGTTATCCTTAGTTTGCTCCTTGCAAAATAAGCAGAGATTACTCTTAACTCCCACAAAACCTGGTGTGGTTTTCTTGCTGCAAAAGCAACTGTGGTTGGAGAATCCCCATTAGATGTGGCAGTTTTCAAGGTTTTAACTGATTTAGCAATGTTTGATGAATGTTTAGATGCTTTATGTTTAGAATACAAGTATACTATGCTTTCCCAGGAGTTTTACAATCTAACCAGGGAAATGTAAATAAAAATAGTGAAGAAATAAAACTCTTATTCAAAGTAACTGAAAAAGAAAGAAAACAAAGAGTCAATGTGTGAAAGACAGAAAGACACAAAGTTTATTTTAATAATAAGGATGAAGAAATTTCAGGGTTCAAAAGCACCCAAAAGGTGCCTGCGAAGCTTAGATGAACGTATTTTATGCTGATGCTGTAGAGGGCATATTTGCTATAGATGGCGCGGGGATGGGTCCTTCAAAATGAACACATGTGCAGACCCTGAATATTAAGCCACCAGGCTGCCACGTAGGGAGACCCAGCACTGGAACGAATTGTCCCAACTATTTTCACACCTTAGGTCTCTTCCCACATCTAGGATTTATAGTTCATGGTTTCTTATATCATCCAAATTCTATCTTGGTTTCTGTTTGCTAATTTTCATGAACGTCAGTGTTGTTCCTCCATTTAGTAGAAGGTATCCGTGAAGAATATCTTCTGTGTATTTAGTGAGGAATGATAATACACACACATGAAAATTACATAACTCGTTCACAAGTTTGTTACTGTTCCTTTGATATCATGAGCAATATTTAAGACTCTCTGGTCCTATTCTTCTCGTGTTTAAACATTACTTCTTCCAGATGATCATCCTGAACTTTTGAATATGTTCATTGATTCATTGATAGGGAGTTCATTGCCACAACATTTGAGGTGCAACTTTACCAGAAATTTCTGTTAGTTATCTGTGGCTGAGTAACAAATCACATCCCAAATGAAAGTCTAGTTACAATGAATTTTATTTCTAGGGATTGGCTAAGCAATTCTTCTGCCTGGAAACGATGATGCAATTGTATGAACTAGGAGATTGTCTGGGCAAGAAGGCGGAAGCTGGCCTGATGCACCTGATGCAGGTGATGTTGGTTGTTGGCTAGAGCACTCTGGCGCCCTGCACTGGTCTGACTGTGTCACTTGTTTTAGGACAATGTCCCAGAATGGTAATGACACGGCTGCTGGTTCTCCTGACACATAAGCTCCAGGACTCGCACAACATTAATCATTCTTGTTTATGCTTTTGGTAAAAAAATTACAGTGGTGGCTCAGATACCAGTGGATAAAGAAAATTTCTCCACTTTTTAAAAGGAAGAATGGCCAACCATACTAGAATGGGTAGATTTTATGTGATCTACAGTATTTAAAGAAATTGTCTGGGTTCCAACATTGTGTCCTTAACCTTTGATGAAGAGCCATACAAAGCTGGATGTAGTGGAGTGTTGTGGAATATTATTTTAATTAAGCAAAGATGCACTTCGTTTCTTTATTCTGCATTTGTTTAACTATGCAAATATGTATTACATTTGTTTATGCTGCATGTGTTTAACAATGTGTTGCTTTGACTGCCTAAGGCATCTAAAGTCTGGTAAAAAGCTGAATGGTCAATAGCTAAGCAGTAGAGGGATAGGTAGGGCTGACAGACAGAAGGAATAAGCAGGAGGAAGAACCTAGACTTGCAACAACAAAGAGAAAGAGAGAGGATGAGAGAGAAAGAGAGGAAGAGGTCCAGAACCAGTAAGCCGGCCAACCAACTGGCAGACAGATAGACACAGAGTAGGACATACAGAATAAAAGAAAGGTAAAAAAAGTCCCAAGGCAAAACATACAGGTTAAATTAAGTTACAAGAGCTAGCGGGGCAAGCATAAGATCAGGGTGAGCATTCATAATTAGTAATAACTCCCTGTGTCATGATTTGGGAGCTGGTTGGTGACCTGAAAGAAAGCCGGTTACAGTGGAGCATGTCCATAATGCCAATACTTCAGATACTGAGGCAGGAGGGTTGCTACAAGTTCCATGTCAGTGTGATCTCTTCGCAAGTTGCAGGCCAATTTGGCCACAGAGTAATTCCCGGTCTCAGTGGGGAGTGGGTGGAGAGGGGTGTGTATAAGACACTTTCTGTCAATCCTGATGAGCTGAGTTTGATCTCGGGAACCTACATGGTGTAAGGAGAGAACCAGCTCCAGAAAGTTGTCCTCTGACCTTCACATATGTGGCATTCTTGATCTCACACATGTGAACACACAGTAAGTAAGTAAAGAAATAAATGCAAGTTTTAGAAAAAAGGGCTGACAATATGGCTCAGTCAGTAAAGTGCTTGCCATGCAAGCCTAAGGACCCGAGTTCAGATCTCCAGCACCCAACTTTTTGAAAAGCCAACATGGCAGCACATGCCTGTAATCCTAACCCTGGGAAGTCAGAGACGCAGGATCACGGGTTTAATGGTCAGTTAGTCTACCTAATTGATATACTCCAGGTTCAGTGAGAGACCTCGTCTCGGAAAGTAAGGTAGAGAGTAATTTTTAAAAAGGCACCCAGTGTCATCCTTTGGTTTTTGCATGCATTTACACACATGTGCATACACACATGCATGTACATATATGCAAAAAAAGAAGAAAAGGAGGAATAAAATATTCAAAGTGGAAATCCACCCCATCTAGTGAAGCTTTGGGGATTCTAGGAAATGTTTTTCCCCCTGTGCCTAGTTTTTGTTTTTCAATTTTATTTATTATTGTTTTGGTTTATTGATTGATTGATTGATTGATTGATTGATTGATTTTAGGTATGAGCTGTCTGTCTGCATGCATACCTGAATGCCAGAAAAGGGCATCAGATCCCATTATAGATGGCTATGAGCCACCATGTGGTTGCTGGGAATTGAACTCAGGACCTCTAGAAGAGCAGTCAGTGCTTTTAACCACTGTGCCCTCTCTCTAGCCCTTCTTTTTTTAGAAAAAAAATATTTTATTTTATGTGCATTGGTATTTTTCAGCATGTATGTCTGTATGAGGGTGTCAGTCAGGTCTTGGAGTTACAAGCAGTTCTTAGCTGCCATGTAGGCGCTGGGAATTGAACCCAGGTTCTCTGGAAAAGCAGTTGGTTCTCTTAACTGCTGAGCCATCTCGCCAGCCCCTGTGCCTAGTTTTGAAACACTAAAGAATCAAGGTCGGAAGCTTGACTTACTTAGACTAACTGAGGAGTCTGACACAGTGTGCGCCCACAATGTAAGGCTTGTGAATGCAACGACCCTCGCACAGCCCTGAAGGTGGAAGACTGGATCAGGTGCTTGAGGCGAGCCACTCCTGAACCCTATCCTGCCTTCAGAATTTCCACCAGCAAATTGGGCAACTGACCTTCATGATTAGCCCAAGACTATAAAATTTCCCAGGAGGAAAGATTGAGAATCACGACATCCTTACATTTTATCATTAAGAATTGCATGTGAGAGGCTGGGTGCATGGCTTAGTGATTAAGAACATTTGCTGCTCATCCAGGGGACTGGGATTCGGGTCTCAACACTCATGTGGAAGCTTACAACTCCAGTTCTGTAGCATCTTTCAGCCTCTCCCAGCCTTCACGGTAACCAATCACACACGCATGCAAAATTCATATCCATAAAAAGGAAATAAATAAATCTTAATAAAAAGATCACATGCAAACTGTCACTTCAGGACAACCTGCTGCCCTTAGATGTTCATTTTCTTTTGTTTCATCCCAGCCTTTACGAATATGATGCATTATAAACAAGCAATCGATTTTCTATTTTCTATTGCAAACGTGTTACATGGCTTTGAGACAGACTAACCTATATATTCATCTAAACCCATCTATCAAAATGATGAGTGGGTAGGAATATATTTAAATCATACCATCAACAAATAGTCTCCTGGGAAAATTGTACATATGTGTTCTCTAGGGAGTAATAAACTAAGAATGAACAAAATTAATACTCATTGCTTTGATTTGCATAATGTCTCATAAAAAGTCCTTTCATAATGCATGAAGTAATGTTTATGAGTTAGGTGGAGACAGGGAATGCTGCATACATTTATTAAATTAAGGGTTAAGAGCTATCACTCCAATATTTTTGTTATTTATATGACTTTATCTATGTCGCCTACACATCTACATCTTTAGATGTTAAACAGAAATACTATTTATGACATATTGAATTTGTTCATCATAAAGAGAAAACTAAGACAGTGTACTATAAATCATGAGATAGCTACAAACTGCTAGCTGGCATTAGCCTGTGCCTTCAGTGGCTTGTCACCTGAGGTTTATGACACTACCCTCTAGAAGGCTTTTGGTACTTGAGGGAGAAAGCAACGTAAGTCAAAAGTGTAATGTTGCAAGCAGTGTGGCTTCCAGAGCATGATCTTAACACAGAAGCCGTCATCTGCCCCTTCCAGTGGCACAGCCGACGCCTGTGATCAGACTGCGGCTGCTCATTTGGCCTATGGCTCCTTAATTTCCAACAGAGCCAAAGAAACCATAGTTCATTAAAATCCATTTCTTCATTCAAACGACTGCCAGCCACACAAGCTGTCCCTGTCATTAAGGAAATCGTAATGTAATCCTCTATCAAGAGGAATGAAGTCAAGTCAGAAGCAAGGCCAGCAAATCATTTTCTCTATACAGCTTCCCAGAAAAGCTTTGGCAGGAGGCAAGACCTGACCATGCACTGCAATAAATAGATGAAGATTTGTTTGTGCCTGGCGTCTATATATTCACTACATGGAAGACCTTCCTTCCCTGGGTTGTACTAGACTCTGGACACTGTCCAGCTTCTGTACACTGTCAATAACTTTTATATGATCAAGGAATTTGATGAGGCTTAGGAATGACCACACTGGGCACATCAAAGCTACCCACTTAACTTCTGAATTACCTTCATTAGGAATTCAAACAAGCCTCGGGCAGCTGTACTACCTTTTAGTGCATTCTCATAGCTGAACTGTGTTCCTTGCTCTTGAAGTGTTTTTTTGTCTTTTGGTGTGAGAAAATATGAATTCTTTCTGTAATTACTTTAGCATTACTTGAAAAATAATTTTCTTATGTCTTTCTGAAAAACAAAGCCAACTTATTAAAGACAATACCACCACCCACTTGGTGGTGTTTTACACCTTCTTAGCTTTGAGTCCTTTCTTGGCAGCTTGCTTGATTCTTTCTAGGGACAATAAAATCCAAGAATCTGAATTTAGTTCCTTGTCAATAATGACTCATTTTGCAATCTTGCTTGAAGCAATGTTAATAAGCAAAGACAGAGTTATCTATCAAGACTATCAGTTTAGAACTTTGGAATTCATGAATTCAACGGATGTGTGGAATCATTTGGTCAATCTAGGGGAGGCCAGTGCTTTGCCTTGAGCTCGTATCCTAGATTTCTCAAAGACCAGACCAAAACCAGAACTGACCAAAACAATCAAAGTAAACTTGAACATGAACCAGTTCTCCAAATCATGGGAGATTCACAGGGACTTATTATGGTCTCATTCAACCTTGTGATGAGGAAGTCTGCTCTGCTGAAGCTATATTTATTTATTTATTTATGTATTATTGCTCTAGGCTTCTATTTCCTCAACCATTCTCTCTAAAGTCAATGAACTCTGCCCAGCCATAGATGAAATTGTGCCCTACTCATTATTTACTCTGATTTACCAGCTCATCAGTTCTATCCCAATCCCCCACAATTTCTCACTATTTTCTTCTCTTCATCTTTATCTATTTTGATTCCATACAGACACACAGGCACATGCTTGCCTTTTCTTAGAGAGACTCCAATTATCGGAGTAAGAAAACTGGGTTCAGAAGATTGACTGGCTGCCTTCTCCTTTCATCTTCCTCTCGTGTCTGGAATGTGTTCCTACCTATCTGCCATGGAAACGGATGCAAATGCCAGGAGGGGGAAGTGCAAAGCCACACATGGATCCTATGACTGATGGATTTCTATGTTTTCAAATTACAGGGGAAATAGTACAACAAAAAATGTAGACAGTGTGTGTCCGCCAAAACTCCTGTGTCTGAGAGGGAGGGGGTCTGAAAGGCCCTGTGCTTAGGAAATAAGAGCAAGGAAGATAAATTACAGCCAACACAATAGACAAATGATCAATTCCTTTATCAGGTAAACAATTCTTTCAAGAGATATAAGAAAAACACCAGGGACACAAATAATGAAAACAGATGTTCATTTTAGTAATCAGGTTAAGGCAACTCTAAGAATCATTTTGCACTTAACAAAATAACTGAAGGAAATATAATGATTTATATTTGACTGAGACTTGGGTGAAAGAGTAAATTTAATACCAGCAGAAATTCCTATAAGCTTCCAGATAAAAAAGTATATGAGAGATTGTTAAAATATTCATACTATTGAATACAGTAATATAATTGGTCAATATCAAGTC